GGCGCCAGGACTGGAACACGAACGTGCCCACTCGGGAGGGCCAGGCAGGGGAGGGGGCGCCCAACCTCGCCTTTCTGCTCCCTCGCCCCCAGCCCAACAGGAGCCCGTTTCTGCCCAGCCTGTCCCCTGTCTGAGGCCCCTCCAAGCCCACCTGGAGGGGCAAGGGCAGCTTCCACAGAGCGTCCAGCAGGGCCCACATTATTGGCAGGAACCATCTGGAATTTCAGACAGAGAAGGAGGATGGGAAAGTGGCCTCCACGTGCCCCTATGCCCACCATGGCCCTGCTCCCTCAACCCAGCCACATCAGCCACCTGGGACCTTTTAGCCCCCAAACCACCCTTGTTGCTTTCCACCCCCTCCAGCCCACCTTCCGTTGGCACCCTCCCCTGGGACTCCCACAGCCCAGCAGCCGAAGGCCTCGGCTCTGCTCCCCTGACCTCAGTGCTCCTTACTACCCACCCCATCCCCAACCGTCGTTGTCCCATTTGGGGGTTCTGTTCTGTGTTCCCTTTCTGTCCTTCTTTCTCTGTCTCTGCCTCAATCTCTGCCTGTGTCCGTCTGTCTGCCTCTGTGGCTTGCTTGCTCAGGAACACCAGGTCTCAAGCAAGGAAGCACTACGCATGAGTCTGGATCGCCTGATGTATTTAGTTCTCACAAAAGCATCGGCAAGAAAAACTGTTTAATTGGGACCAGATCCTCTGAGGCTTTAATGGCATTAAAACAAGATAGGTTTTCTCTAGGGAAGAGATGGCTGGCAATGGGAAGAAGGCATGGAAAGTATGGCTCTTTTCTTCTCAATATTTGAAGAGGAAAAAGGCCACTGTACCTTTATTTATTTACGATAGATGCCCGAGCATGTGCCAGAGAGACCCTCCCACACGCCTCCACCCATAGGTAGACTGGCATCTGTGTGCACACGTGTGCACAAGTTGCCCGGGTGCACACACACATGCTGGCTTTGATGTTACTCGGATACAATGTGGAAGGCGTAAGAACAGGCCTGTTCCCTTGCTCTTGAGGGGTCACCCCAAGGGTATGTCTTTGGCTGTAGAGCCACTGTTCTGTCCTGGGCCCTGATGGAAAGTCTGGTACACAGTAAGGGCTCAAGGCACTTGTCAAATGACAGGCAGTGGGAGGGTAGAACTGGTAACCCAGACCTTGGCCCTGAGCTCCAGATTCATGCAGAGAACTGCCTTATAGACATTACTGCTTGGCTGTCTAATCACCAACCTCACACCTGACAGGTCAGGAGCTGGAGTCCCCAGCTTCTGTCCCAGGCTCATTCCGCCCACAGTGTTCTCACTCCACCCACTTCCCCCACCTGCAGCCTCCACCCTGGGCAAGCCAGATAACCTCTCCCCAGGAAAGTGCAGCTGCCTCTGCACTGGCTTTCTCCTTCTGCCCTTGTGCCCCCAACACGTCTGTGCTCCACCCCGCAGCCTGAAGGATCCTTTTATAAGTCAGATCATGTGTGGCTCCTCTGCTCAGAAGTCCACAGTGGTCCCCTGCTTCTTTTAAGGTCAAAGTCAAAGTCCACCTGCCACCCTTCAATGCCCTATCAAGCTGGCCCTTCCACTCTTCCCTAGCCTCACCCCTCATTCAGCCTGCTCCACTGCACTGGTCTCCTTGCTGGTTCTCAAATTGGGCCAAACCCTTCCTGCCTCAGGGCCTTTGCACTGGCCATCCCTCCTTTTGGGAGGGCTCTTTACCAGAACTCTTCTGGTGTAGCTATCTCCTTTTCACTCACGCCTCCACCCAAATGTCACTTTCTCACAGTCCTCATCCCATCCCCTGTCAAAAGTGTCTCTCTCTCCAGCTGCCATGGCCAGCCCTTTTCCTCACACCCCCCAGTCTGTGAGCACAGGGCAGCTGGCCACATGGCTCACCGCTGTACCGCTCACAGCGCCAGGCACAGTGCCTAGCCCACAGCAAGGGCTCAGGGATATTCAGTGAATGAAGAATCTATTCTCCAATTCTCCCTTGATGGGAGGAGGGCTCTCAGCTATGCAGTTATAAGGCGCTTTGAGGGATGAAGGGCATGGCTTCGGCATCCTCCAGGCTGCCAGTTTGAGTCCTGACTCGTGAGGGGCTGTGTGTTCTTGGGGGCAAGATGTGTGGAGAGTGGCCCATGTGGAAGGGGAGGACAGAAGGAGAAGGGGCAGGAGTCCCTTCCTTGCCCTCAGAATCCTGGGATTGTGCAGCTGGAAGCAACCATGATCGTCTAATGGTGCTTCTCTAGGCCCCTTCCAGTTCTCAGGTTCTAGAACTTTCTAAGGAGCCCTTATCCACCACATTGCGATGGGGAGACCAAGGCCCTGAGAGGGGAGGCTTACTACTGACATCACATGGTCTGTCTGTCCAGGGCAGAGCTGGGAGCCCAAAAGCCTTCCAGCAACCCCCAGGCTACATCTCTGGTTCCTGGAAAATCCCGACACCCCTCCCACCCTGTGCTCCAGACACCAGGCTCAGGGTTAGTGTTGGCCAGGGGCCCTGCCTGTCTCAGCCCAAGTCCACGAGTAAGCTCCGTGTGCAAGAGGGGCGGGTGTGGGAGGGCACCTCTGGTTCTGCTGAGCCCACGACAAGCTGGCTCTGCTCTGTGGGGGTTCTTTCAAGGTCCCCACGATGGCCGAGCACCCTGAAACTGGACACAGTAGGTGGCCAGGTGGCCGCTGGCCCCCAGTGGGGGAAGGGCAGTGATGACTGGACTCCACAGGACCTGGGGAGCTAAGAGTGCCCCAGGCCTCGCCCCTTCCTGCTTAGGTGGGTCGGAGCGAGGGTCCCTCCCTCCTCCAGGCCACTGTGCCAGAGAAACCTGGGAGCAGGCTTCCCCTCACCCCCAGCTCAGCTAATGGGAACCAGATGACAGGATGTTTAGTCAGCGCCTGGGGAGCGGCGCGAACAGGGGAAATGGGTTGGGGGCCAGAATTCCAGAATCCATCCCCAGGCAGGGGGAGGGTTAGAGCTGGGGCTCCCACCACAGTTGTCTCTAGGGACCCACTTCAGGCGGGGTCCTACCCCCTCCTCCAGGGATGCCTGGACCAGGAGGCAGGAGACAGGAGACAGGAGGCCTGGCCTCTGGCATCTGCCTCAGGCCAGCCCTACCCCCTCTCAGTTCCTTCCCTGTCCTGGGGGCGGGGTTTGTTCTCAGTCTTCCAGAATCCCTGGGCAAACCCCAGCCTCCCGTGCCTAAGTGCTCCCCCGCTCCCAGCTTGGCAAACCATTAGCCCAGGCCATCCTGTGTCACCCAAGGGCACACGGGCATATGGCGGATATATCCTTGGCTCCCAGGGTACTTGCTCACGCTCACTTTGCAGACCATCGCTGTCTGTGTGTGGCACAGTCCCAAATTCAGGCTTAAACCGGAGCACTGGACAAGACAGAGGAGGGGACTGCCAGTGGACCCTGTGTGGCTCACGTGGGACTGTTAGCTGGCACGGAGGCTCCGGGAAGGCGGTGACTCCTGTGTCTCTGCTGTACCCCAGGCGCAGTACATCTGATACTCGGGACTAAGGCTGTTCCCCGGGCCCAAGTGGGTCAATGCTGAGGACTCTGACAAAGACCTGCTTGAGGGGTACTCTGTGCCCTACCCCCACGCCCTTACACACTCCTCTGTGGCCCCAAACAGAGACCTTGAACCCCAGGTGGCTATGGGAAACTCCTCCACAGTCCTTCCTGGCCCTGCTCCCCCCCCACTTTCCCCTCCACCCAAGCCTTGCCCACAATTAACTCATTTTTTAAGATCGCTTCCAAACATAAGTCAATGCTGGACAGAGCTGTAGGAAAAGCTTCCTCAAGGCTGGCCCCAAAGAGCCATGTGGTGAGACCCGGCCTCCTTGCCAGTCCCCGCCTGCCCTCGGCTCCCACAGCTGGGTCTGGGGCTGGGGCCATCTGAGGGCGGGCCCAGGGGCCTGTGGTCAGACACCCCTTCTTTGCCTCTTGCTCCAGCCCACGGCCCTGCTCTTGAGCCCTCTCCTGACCCACAGGTGCCTCTCGGCCAGAGAGGGCGCGCGTGAGGCGTAGGGAAGCAATGACACTGGTCACTCCAAGACCTGGAACTCTCTGCCGAGAAGCCTGGAGGGAACTGTGAGATGGCCTCCGCCAGGCTACTACTGCCAGGCCACTCCAGGCCAGTGGTCCCTGAAGAACCCGGCAGTCCCAATGCACACACACTCCAGTGTGAGGTGGGGACATAGCAGGGGTGGGAGTCAGCGGGATGTATACCCGCTCACCATTTTAGAGGGGAAAGTGGAGGCCTGGAGGGAAGGTAGGGAGCCAGTAGAAGGATCCAGAGCTGAACTGCCTACTCCAGCCCCATCTGAGGCAGGAGGTCCATACCCAGGTGGCACTGGGGCCCCAAGGGCTGGGGTCTCTGCTTGACACATGTTCTGTTTCTTCTGGAGTAGGGAGGCCTCGGCACTGGCGCCCACAGAGGAAGCCCACAGGCTTGGCAGGTTCCAGGGGAGCCAGCGCCGCCATTGTCCGGGTGGCCCTGTCACCTGTCCCTTCTCCCAAGGACCCAGGAGGCTCTGGGGCCTGCTGCTGGCGAGGCCTGGCCCCTCTCCTCTCCCGGCCGTGGAGGTAGGACCTGGCAGCCTGGGGTGGGCAGCCTGCTCTGTGGTGGGCCTCACAGGTCCACTGTGTGTGGAGACAGAAGCCCCATTCATGGGGGCCACTGGGCCAGGGCCAGTGGAGAATAAACGCAGGCCTCACAGAAAAAACGAGAGCTCTTGGGTCCAAGAAAAAAATCAGTCTCTCTTTCTCCTCAGGTGGGAGCAGGGGACTTTGAGCGGAGTCAGGGGCAAGGCCTGGGGAGGTATTTGTTGGAGGGGAGCCTTCCTGAGGGAGGGCTGGGTGGGTGGCGGAGGCTCCCAGCGCTGCAGCTCAGGGAGCAGGGCTGTCGCTCCCTCAGCCCGCTGGTGTTCCATCCTGCCGCTGTGGCTCCCACCTCTCCCAGCTATTCACCCCCTCCGCCAGCCCAGGCAGCCTGCACACAGCGGCCATGAAGAGTGTGCTGCTCCCCGTCCTGGCTCTCTGGGTGGGGTGCTGCCCTGGAGGGGCCCTGGCCAAGCAGGGGCTGAGCCTGAGAGACCCCAGGCCCCGGCCATCCTCCTCGGGTTTGCCCACCCTGCAGCCGCCGCCGCCCAGCCCGCCGGGCCCCCCCCCATGGTGAGTAGGTTGCACCAGCAGGAAGAGGCTGGTGGGAGGGGAACAGCCTGGGGCTGGGCCAGAGGGAGAGAAAGCTGGTCATCCTGAGGCTGCCCACCGATACCCATGTCGGTTGCTCAGGTCAGGGCTGGGAGGGATCCACAGGCCTCAGGGAACCCTTTCCAGAGGGTGAGGGGGTATTGCAGACTCGGAGGCTTCGTGCTCATTGCCTAGGGTAGGAGCAGGGGAGGGGAGAAGCTCCCCTAGGAGGGGCTGCCTCAGCTGGGGCTGGAAGAACAGATCCAGGTTTGCTGGCTGCCCTAAGGCCTACTGAGGGGACCCAGAGATGCGTGGGAGACCGGAAGTCGGGGCCTGGGGCTGCGGTTGGGTGAGGTGGCACAAGTGGCTCCAGGAGAATGGCTACAGGGTCACCCTGGTCTCAAATGCCTTTGGTTAACAGCATGCATGGTGGCCCCGCCCCAGGCCCAGGGTTGGAGTGGGAGGGGCCAGTGGGTGGGCCTGGGTGAGGTGATCCCCCACCCGCTGCAGACAGCAGGACCTGCAGGGAAGGCCCACCGTTAGTGCTGATTGAGGAAGGGTACCATGCAGAGGAGGCCAGGCCCTGGAGCTATCACCCCTCCTTGGCCGTTGCTGACAGCCCCTCAAGGTGACCCCTGGGCTCAACTCGACCCCAGTAGCCTCATCTCCCTGCAGGCACTGGGGCTTCCACCTCCAAAAGCAAACTGTGCCAGGTGGCAGGGACCCCTTCGTCTCCCCAGAGGCTTCCCCAACCCCTTCCTGCCCAGGAAGAATACACCGGGGACTGGGAGGCACAGGAGCAGGCCCAGCCCCCTCCATCTAGGGCCACTGAAGCGCTCCTGGACCCACCCTTGTGAACCAGGAACCTGCCTGTGCCCTGTCACAATGAGCCTAGAAGGTCCCCAGAAGTTCTGAGAGGCAAGCAGGGTGACTCCGCATGCTTCTGGCATTGAGCAGCCCCCTGTTCTCCCTTTCTGGCGCTCGGGGTCTCCCACTCTGGAGCCATGAAAAAGCAGGGCAGAGACCAGGGACTCTCTGACACTTGGTGACCTCAGGGGTCAGTAACAGAAGGCTCCTGAGGAGAGAAGAAAGAGGCAGAAGTGAGGTCTGGGCAAAGAGGCAAGGAGGGAGGTGGGCCAGCCTACGGCTGATCCCCCCACTCAGGATGGAGGTGCTGTCTTTTAGCCGTGAGGGGATCCCAGTCACCCCAGCCCACATTGGCTCCTTCTGCAGGTCAAGTTCGGCCCATCCCCGAGAGCGACGGCCCGGACAAGCCTGAGGACAGGCAGCTGGACGGATCACAGTCGCAGCTCACCTCCAAGGAGGGAGTCCACAGAGCCCCCACCCGGTTCCCAGCCCCCAGTTGGAAGGCCCCTGCCAGGCCAAGGCTGGCCCAGAGGAAGGCGACACCATCAGCTGCCTGGGAGCAGGAGTGGGGTCCCAACAACAGGCCAGGCACCGTGCAGGTTGATCCCCAGGCCACAGCAGCACCT